CCCCCCCCCCCCCCCCCCCCCTTTTTTTTTTAACAGGACTGTCTGGTATAAGCTAACATACATTTGCAGTGCCAGCACTGGTCAAGATGTTAAGGTAAATGGATTTCTAGACAGGATGGAAGATGAGATTACGGAGCATTTTCTGCAGACAGTCACTTCTAAAGTCCAGGTATGGGAGACCCATGTTAACACTGAATATTTTAGACTGTAGGGCAGGCGCGCACTTCACTCTCATGTCCTGATTTGGAAAGGGTGAAACCATAGTTTGATCTTCAGGCTCAGTACCCTCCTCTGCCTTGTCTGAAGCTGTATATTGACAGCTTCATCTTTTCCAGTTTTTGGGATCCCACTACCATTTTTTTGTAGTATTTGCTGTTGTGCTCTAAATGGGTACCCCATGCTGCCCCTGGGCACCCACACCCGGGGGGTCAAACTTCACCTGGTACCTACTCATCCCCAGCAGCTGAACATCTTCCTGGGGCAGTGATAACTCTCAGAGCCCAAGGCTGTGGTGGGTAGTTGGGATGTAGAGAAGGCTGACCAGAAATGTATCCCTCCTCTGCGATAAGTTCCCCTCACTTCACACTTTCTAATATTAGACTATTAGCTCAGACACCCACCTTCGTGTCCTGGGCTCCATTTCTAAATAACACACACTTGCAGTCTCCTAATAGCATCTGGTGTTGTGCGTTTCTTTGGGATGCTCCCCTGAGCATCTTCAGGCTCATTGCTCTGGCTCCCTTGAGCATGCTGAAGCCAGCAAAAGGAAAATGACAAAAGAAACCCTGGCCACACTGTGCAGTTTTGGTCTCCAGAGCTCATTGCCAGCCTGTCCCATTGCCAGCCTGTCCCATGGGCCCACGTGCTGAGGTGGGAGCTGGGGGTTGTTCTGACAGGGAGCATGGACAACCCTGGGGACAAACAGGAGACCTGGGGCTCAGGTTTTCAGTCCTTCTCCGGCTGTGTTGACATGGGCTTCAAATCATGAAAGACAGAGTTTATCCCCTGCCTGCCTGCTAAATGACCCTTATACTTTCCCATTGAATAAGAGCAATGGCCATGCTGGGACCAGGATGCCAGAGCAGGTGGGTGCAGAATGGCTCGGTCTTCCTGCACTCCCCATCCGTAGGGACACGTTTTACATAGTCCCCAGAACAGAGCTATTACCACACATTTTTTTCTTATTTTTGGTCTTCCAGGTTCGGGCTTAAGAACTTAATACATCCTTCCTGAGTTTGAACTGTGTCTTTCATGTTTTGTTTTTCTTTGAAATGACGGCACAGGATGCTGCAGCTCGTGGAGGAGTCTATTTCTGAGAGCAGAAAGAGCAAAAGCACAATAATCCATGTCTGTTGTCTGTGTGGTGTGTCTACATGTGCACCCTTTGACTCTGTCTGTCCCTTTTCCTCAGGGAACACTGAAAGAGCACTTCAAAAAGTGCGACAGTGGTTTTGACAACATCCTTGAATCCTTAAAGCAAAGCTTTTTGGCATTTGGGAAGAAAAAAACAGGCATGTATGAGGTAAGAAATAAGTAAGAACAAGATATTACTTAGGAAATCACTAAAACTAGCCCTTGAAGCTCTGGATTGCACACTATTTCAACATTAATCCAAACTACAATTTTTCTGTTGTTAAAAGGGCTTTTAAAGATCTAACAGTCCTAGCCCAGTTCCTCTATCCAACAGTGTTGGATATTTTCCTCACTGTGACAGCCAGGACCTTTCTGTAATCTCAGCAGAGAAACCAGCAAGTGAAGAAATGTGGAGGTGAAGGCATCTCCCAAGTAGAGAGCAGGAGCATTGAGCCAACTCTGATCCTACCATTGCCCCAGTACCACTATATTGTAAATCTCAGCTTCTAATGTGCTTTGACCTTAGTTATAAGGAATATTTATCCCTTTGATGGAGAGTGGACACGTGGTGAAAGGTCCAGATCCACAAAGGACATAGTCTGTTAGGCAGTTAAATATGCCAGGGTTAGCAGAGAACAAACTCACAGAGCACCTAAGTTTTTTCACCTTTACAGTAGCCTGAACAACTTACTTAGGGTCTCACGACACCCTTCAGCAGTGAGATGGGTACCTGGGGTACCCTCTTTTGCACGCAGGTTGGATTCGCTGCTGCTACCTGGTGCAGCACATGTCCCCCTGAGCACCTGACTCCCTTTCTCTTACCCTCCCAGGTCTGCAGGCTCTTTGTCAGTGCTGATTTTAATTAACATTTTGAAATGTGGAAAAAGGTAATGGAACAGAAAAAAATTAGGAGCTGTTCTGCTGTTGTTCAGAGTCTGTCACTGGTCATTATGTCACATTAGTGCTGGGGCAAGCCGCAGCTCGGTGGTGGAGTGCTGTGCCAGAGCTGCCTGTCTCTTGCTTTGTCTCTTTTGGACAAGGCTGGGGATTTCCTGTACCTTTGGACTGCAGCCTAAAACTGCTCTGATTTCAATTGCTAATGAAAAAGTGGTTTCTGTGCAGCAGCCCATTTCCCCTTAGAAACGCTTGCTCTCCCTCTGCCTTCGGGCACTGCAGGGTCTGGGCACTGGGGTTTCTCAGCAGGCAGCGGGCGGCTCAGGGATGCTGGGTGACTTCTCTGTGCCCAGCCACGATGGGGTGCCCAAGGGTATGGCCCCGGGACGTGTCCAGTGGGGATGCTCTGGGGAGGCTGGATCTGTCTTTGTCTGCAATCCGGGCTGTCCCCAAGTGATGTGTTTGTCAGCTTGGGTCTAAGCCAAGTGGCACCGCTGTTGTGGAGCGTGAGTGACCTCTGGCTCAGCTAACCGGTCCCACTGATTTTGGTGGGATGTCTCCACATTTACCATCAATGTTTATGTCATCCACACAGAGCTTGGTTGGAGATACTCCTTGTGTTAGACCAGGCATTTTAAAGGCACCCTTTAAGCAGAGAAATGGGCCACCCATCTGCACGGACCCTATACCCCCTGCCTACACTGGTCAGAGTCCTGTAGGTATGGTCTGGTCCTTGCTTAATACAGGGAAGTAAATTTGGTCTTCTTTGCTCTGGAACAGGCCCTTGTCAAGGCTGTCAACATCATCATTATTACAGAATACGTGCAGGCCCTCCTGACCACTTCCAGGAAACAATCTTCTGTGCAGAGGAGGAGGATTGTCAGCAAGATCGAAGAAGATCACAGAAGGCTGCAAACCATCTTTAAAGAGTGCTTAGTAAGTCTTTGATATGGTTGTAGTTTTGCTGTCTGTCATCAAGAACAGTACCAGCAGAGGAAAAGGCTCTGAAAGCAACAGAAAAGCCTAAGAGGTCTTTCCAGAGTGGTATCCAGCTTTGCAGAAATGACAATCAGATGTGCTGATGGCCCTTCTGATCTGCCAGAAGCTGTTAGTTTATAGTTTTGAAATGTGTGACTAGAGGAGGCAAGATTCACACTCCTGCCACTGAAATGAGAATGAAGCACGATCCTCTGGGTTGGCAAGACAGCTCCAAAGCTGCCAGCTCTCCCAGGCAAGCCTTTGGTACATGGCATGGGCATGCAGGAGAGGAAGAGCTCCGTTCCCTCCAGTGCTTTCCCTTCAGCCTCTGGGATGATGAACCAAATCGGCTGCTCCATATCTCCCCGGCCTTCACCTTCTCTGTGGATTGCCCCGTCTGCTGCTCCTCCTTGGACATGGGGTATGCATTGTTACCCCTCCGTCTGGCCTCCCTCCTCCCTGTGGGCCCTTCCCAGCCCCTCAGAGTGCTGCAGAGTTCCCTCACGGGCAGAAACATGCTGATGCTGTTGTGGTTGGTGATGGTTGCAGAAGGAGTGGGTCCTCCTGCGGGGGTGAGCACCTCACACCATTAGCAGGTGAAGATGCCTCACAAAAGGGATAGATCGGGTGTAAAAGCAGAGGCACGTCTCTGAAGAAAATTTGTGGCAAAATGCTAGGTCTGATTTGCAGAAGCAACTTTGAAAGCTTAAAAAAAGCCTCTTTGCTTAATTCGTAATCCGGTGTAGTTGGCATGCACACGGCATCTGCGGATGCCACCAGGCTGTCACATGGGTCCCTTGATTGCCCAAGGGCAAGGTCTGCAATGCCAGCAGCCTCCCCTCCTGCGGCTGCTCCAGCTGGAGAATCGCTGCCCTGCAATGGCCCCTGGTGCAGCTCTTTTCCAAATGCAGGCTGAGAGCGTTCGGGCATAGCACTTTGTAAGGGTGGACCGAGCAGCGCAGCATCGATTGCAAAGGTAGCCTGGTAACAGGACTCAGATGTGACACAGTAGATGAAAAGCCTGGGCTTTATTGCTCTTAATAATTCTACAAATTCTGAGTCATTCTCACAACTTGTGAATTTAAGTGCTGGGGACTGGAGATCTATTTTCTCCAAGACGAGCCTCCTGCAAGTCATTTGTCAGCAATTCTGACTTTGTCCAAAGAATAAAACGAAATCAAACTGATCATCCGTAGGCTCCTCTGAAAACCTCCCAGACCCATTACGATTAATGCATTAGTTTCACGGTGGAAAGCTGGAAGCTGGCAGTGCTTTTAGCTGAAGACCCACCCCTCCTGGAGTGATCAATCACAGGCAAGTCAATGCTTTGAGCAATCCAGCCATGGGGAATAGCAGGAGGATTCTCTAATCTTATCTCTGAAGTTTACCAATGATGCTGTGCTCAGCATCAGCTTTGGATGTAATGTGCAAAGAAAGCTGGTTTTATAGTGTAAAGGAGATACAGGAAATCTAATTACGTAGTAAAACACTACATTCGGCTTGGGTGAAAAAAGTCTGCGTCTAGTTAGCACTGTTTCCCCCGTGCCCCCAGTCTTTTTGCTTTCTTATTGATGTGGGAGCACCGAAAACCTCGGGGAGGAAACGCATAAGTGATTTGCAGGGGACAGCCTGATACTCAATCAGAGGAGGTACGTGGTTATGTGTGCAGAATGTGCGCTCTGCTGCAGACTGCGTTCATCGTGCAGCCGCTGCACAGGCTGCTCCTGCTGCCTGCCCTGCTCTGCCCTCTCTTCAGGCTCTTCCTTCCCCTCCCTCCTGAAAGCACGTTAGGAAATACCTTGCTTCTCTCCGAAGAGCAGTATGTGCCAAGTGCACTCAAGCGCAGCTGACAAGACACCTCTTTTTTGTCCTTTTAGGTTGCAAGCTGTTTACCTCTGACCTTGCCTGTCAGCCCTTAACTAAATCTGACACCTTCCAATTAATTAGCATTTTGTAAGAGTGAGCTTGCCAAGTACGAAGCCTTCCAGTATCGGTGCGTTAGGAGCTGAGTGCAGCTTGTGTGCTGTGCAGAGCTAGACATGCTGTTTGTCTGCAGTGCGGAGGAAGAGAGAGAAGGCTGCCTTCAGATATTACTATTATTTTTAATTTATGTTCAATGCGGAGGTGAGCTGTCCCGAGAAGGCAGCCTGCTGTTTCTAATGCCCCATGGAGATCAAGGGGAACCTGGGCTTCTCCTGCCCCAGTTTGGCAGCCGGTTCTCCAGGTTTGCTTTGTCACAGAGTCTCTGTTGACGTGATGGCATCAATAATTCAGAGAAGCAATTTAATCGCATTACCGCACCAATGAAAAATGTGAGCAAGCTCTCTCAGAAGTTCATCCGCATTCTGCTTCCTCCGGCTTTGCTAAATATGCCGTGTGTTTCTGGATGAGGTTTTCTTCTTCTGTGTGCCCTAGTTTGGAGGGAGCTGACCGTACCGCAGCGTCTACCAGCCACGTCATATCCTTTACAGTGTCTGGCCCTGCTTACTGTTTTTTTTTTCTGGTTTTCTGTTAGAGGATCTATGTCCCCTCACCCTCTCTCCAAGGTCGCTTTTCTGTCCCTGGGCTTGCTTCAGGACAGCAGAAATGCCATCACGTCTGGCCAACAGAGCTTGTTTTCACATAGGTACGGGGCTGTGCTTACCTCTGGAAGGCAACCACTTCCCAAAGGGTGAAATGGCCAAGAGAGGACAGACAAAGTAGGGAAAAACGAGGTACATTTGCTCTCTTTGTCAAAGGAAATGCAGGAGGAGAGTCAGCGCTGCTGAAGGTAGCCGCCCTGGAAGCAGTCTGTGGTCGCACCCCACTTGCTTTTCTCCTACCCTGGAAGGAAAACAGGCTTCTGTACACACACAGAGAGTCCTGCAAAGCTCCTAAGCCACACAGTGGGATCTCCAGTCTGGTACAAGTCCAGCTCTTAATGTTGTGTGCTGCTTCCCTGGCCTGAACACACCTTTGCTTCTCTTCCCAGGGTCCTGCGGCCGGTCCCCTTAAGGATCCCATAAAAGCAATTTTAGGACTTATTCAAACTTCTGATGCTGAGGGGATGAAAATAGCTCTTCTGCCCATTCTCAAAGAATTTCCTGACCTAAGGTAAGGTCTTTTATTGGTTTGACTTCTGTAGTTTCTTAACTCATTACTTGCCAGCAGAAGACCTATAGCAGTGTTGGTCCTGCAATGCTTTCTCTTTGCAGCTTGTGGGGCCAGGCACAGTGCTTACCTTTGGGTGCACTCAGTGCTGCCTGTTGGCAGGTGCTGATTAACCTGGTTTATAACTTTGCCAGACATTAACCAGTCGAGTTGAGATGTCCTTCTGAAGGATGGATGAAATGGCTGGCCACAAAACAGGGATGCTGTGGAAAAATACTACCTGAATGGACAATTTACAGGCACATGTGTGCCAAACGCAAGTTTCAAGAACATCCTTAACTCAGGCATTTCATAACTCTCAAGCACTTGGCTTTTGACTCCAACATGTCACCAATCCTTTTCTAAGTATAACTATTTCCACAAAACCCTAGGTGTGTTCAGTAAGAATATACACTTCCATTTCTCACAGGAAGCTGTTAACAGAAATGAAACCCAACTTTTATTAGGAAGGTGAGATCTTAGCTAACTGCATTTGTTCCAAAGTCTGTGGTTTATTACATCCATCTTTTGTTCTGATGTCTCGTGCTAGTGACTGTATTTTTCCAAGTTAATATGATTACAGTGTAGAGCTCTCTGTCACAGGATGCTGTGAAGGCCAAAAGTGTGAATAGCTTCAAATGGGGAGCAGACAATTTGTGATAGATAAATATTTCAGCGCCTATTCAACATGACAGTCATGATAAAACCCTCAGCTAAGGAAGTCCCTAACCTGCAGACTGCCAGAAGCACAAAAAAAAAAAAAAAAAAAAAAAAAAAAAAAAGACAGGCAAAGAGAGACCATGTTATGCTTTGTCTGGTTTCTGTATTATTTTCCCAAGCATTTGCTGCTTTTGAATATGCTATTGAGCTAAAAAGCTGCTTATCTGATATAGCATAGCAATTCTTATTTTCTTGCTATGTATATACACTTATATAAATAGTAATATATAAAAACCTATGTATTTATATATATAAATATAGTAAAGGAATTGGGCATAGGAAGTACTCAGAAGAATATTATTTTGCTCCAGATCTCAGAGGAGGTCATCCCAGTGTGAGTAGATGCACTGTTCTTGATTTCAGCAGCTTCCCGTATGTTTGGCTTCGATACATTTGCCCTGTTTGTTAATCAGACCAGTATGTTGTAGCCCCATGCAGTGAAGCAATGCTATGTAGAGCACAAATCCTATAGCACTGCAGATGAACAAGAAGTAGCTCCGTCTGAGGGGAGAAAAGGTATCAAAAATGCTTCCAAATGGTCAAATGCAGATTTACCCCAAACTTATTATGGCAGATGCAGATCTTTTTCTAGGAGAAATCTGAGGTGAAGATTTCCACAGTTTCGTGGGGATGCTGTGTGGTCTGGGCTTGGGACCTGTGAGCTCAGCTGGATCCCACGCAGCTCTTGTGATTCGGCCTCCTCTGTGCTAGGTGGCCAGAGGGTGTCAAAAAGCAGTTCAGCAGCTTCCAAGCCTTGGCCTGGACCCGTAAAACTGAGTGATAGGAAGCAAGCTTTTTTCCTTGACTTTTTCACTGACCTGCCCTCTTATCCTTTTGGAAAGGAAGGAACATCTCAGTGCAGTGCTGGACATCAAAGACTCGGTCAGCCGAGAAGACAGAGCTGCGATCTTGAAGGCATTTCATGATAACTGCCAGGAATCAGAAACAGAAGCAAACTTGCTTTTTGCAGATATAGAAGTAAAACCTAGAAAATATGGGCTATGTGGCTGCTTCTGCTGTTAGCAAAGGTAGGGGTGTGTGTCTGTGTGTGTGTGAGCGTGTTTGTGTGTAACACGCATACCCATGCAGGCGTAGGCATTGCTGCTTTCCAGGAGGTGGAACAGCTATGGCTGCAGCATCACCTCCCTGAGGTCCTTGTTGCTGTATACACCGATTCTACTTCCCTCTCTCTGCCTGCAAATTTCCACGTCATGAAGCATGGTGTTGTAGGCAGCGCAGGGTGCTGAATGCTTAGATGTGTGATTCAGGTTACTGCAGGGACAAAGGAGAAGACAGGGCTCTTCCTCCCTGTCCTTTGCTCCTGTCCGTGTGTCCCTGCAGCTGCCTCTCCGCAGCATCCCCTCCCTGCCAGCTCCTTCCATGTGTGCATGGGCAGGGTCTCCCAGGCAAGTGCCGCTGCCTCCTGGTAGGGCATGCTGAGGGGGTTTCTTCTGCATGGTCCCCCTGCTTTCCTGATGCAGAGGGAAGGGGTACGTCAGCTCCACGGCTGCCCCCCTCCATGGGAGGTGTATTAATTAAAGCGTCCTGTCCAGGTGACTGAGCAATGCTGCGGGCACCAGAGGCAAGCGTGCCCCCTCCGTGCCGGCAGCAGCTGGTGGAGGGATAAAAGTTAGAGGGATGACTGTCACTGTAACGTCTTCAATCCCCTTGGCTTGAATTGCCAGGGCTCATGTGGAGCACCTGCAATCTCCTTTCAGTTTCCCAAGTGATTCCTTCACAGCCACAAACTGGAGATTTTGGGGGGTAAGCTGCAAGCAGATCCTGAAACTAAACAGGTCCTCATGGTTTAAAAATACTTCATAGTGGAGATCATGCAGCTGTTTGCTTCACTTTAAATAATCTGCAACTTCTTTTTAGTCCAAATTTGCCCAGCTCCAGCTCAGAGCCAGAGAATTTTGTGTTATCTTTGTCAGACTAGGACCCTCAGCTATCAGAAGTAGTCTCCCTTGGTTAATATTTACAGATTGTCATCAGTTACCTTTTGTTGGATAAGCTGAATAGACTGAGTGTCTCCGGTTGAGAAGCGCAGTCCCTTTCCACCTCCTCCTCCGCTCTCCGGTGTCACCATTTATTTATAGTTCCCCATGTTGGCAGATCGGGGATGAGTTACCCAGGGCTCTGACCTGGGGCCTCCAGGCACAAGGAGACAGCGGGCTGCCCTGTTAGCAGGGAGAGAAAGCAATTAGAGAAACGATTAATAAGCACACAAACTTTTCCTTCCTAATGAAAACTGATTCTGATATAATGAACTGGCTATCGGCCACCCACTTTTACACCCTCCTTTAAAGAAATTACACGTCACTGCCTTCGCTTTAGGAAAGTATTCCAGGAACATGTTTTTAAAACAGTCTAAGTCGCTTAGTCTCCTGTTTGCTGAAATCCCCTGGGTAAATAGGCTCCCAAATCCCAGAAGACCTGGCTGTGTCTGCGGTGCACGTGTGCAGCATGGGCTGGTGGCCTTACCTGAGCTCAGGGGTAGCAGTCACGGTGAAATCCGTGTTGGGATGTGCTCAAAAGGAGGTCACCTTCCTCCCTCATCCCAGCCCCGCGACTTTGCTGCCATGCGCTGGGTGTGACCTGCAGGTTCATCGGGTTTGTCCTGTCTGTACGTGGAGGTGGGAGGGCTTTGGAAAAGTGTTATCTTTGGTTGTTTCATGTGAGCGTGAAGTGACCTCTCATGAGAGGAGTGAGCAGGTTTGGCTGGAGTGGGCAGGGGTCAGCAAGGACCCATGGATTGTGTTAGCCAGAGTAGCCCAGGAACTGGAGGTTTTCAGCAGGGTTTTTTTTCATACAGCTTCATGCAAGGGTCTGCACATAGGAGGGATGTTTTTGCTGTTTGACTCTTGCACGTGTTCTGATGAGTGCTACTTAATTACCCGGCTTTTTTATTGCTTTCCCTCAGGCCTGCTGTGAAAAACATGAGGTCTTGCTCCCACGTGGCAGCGTCTGCAATCACGGCTCCTTGAAAGCTTCAGTGACCCGTGCAGCCGGGTGCCCGGAGAAGCCTGACAGCTATGGAAGTCATGATTCCTGTGCTTTTGCAGGAAAAGCATGGGGCCTGAATCCCAATCTATGCAAAGTCCAGGCAGAAGATGAATGGGACACGGCAGAAAGACATTCCTTCAAAATTTCCTGGAGACTGCTGTTTAGCTGAGTCTTGGTGGTTATTCATAGGATGTGTCACAGTGGTGTGCAGAGGAGGAAGGTTCCCCTTCACAAAATTTCTCTGTTTCCATGCCTTGTTTCATGCAGTCTTATGCAAAACCAGGGACTGCTGCACCACACGGCATCTTAGCAGATGACACGGCATCGCAACCTCCCCAAGGGCCCAGGACTCTCCGTTAGGGAATCCTTCCTGGCCCGTGGTCCCAGCGATGCCTGCAGGTTTGGGCACCTGGATCCACCCCCCCCCCCCAAGCCTGACCTGCACCAGGAGGGCGCATACAGAGCTGCCTCTCCCCTCGCTCCCCACACACAAAGGCTGCCAGGGTGACGGCTGTGGGATGGGGAGCTCTTCCCGTATGAGTTTTAGAGCTGGCTCTGGAGCAGAGTCTTGCATTCATTTTTATACTTCAGTTACTGGAAATTTCCTCTTGGAGAGGGAGGGGAAAGCCTCATGGGAAGCAGGCAGTGAAAGGAGCTGTTTGTCCCAGCCTCCGGGCAAGTTCTGTGCTGTTTTCAGATGTAAATAGGCAGTTCCGCCGGGAAAACACTGACTTTTCTTCCCAGTTATCTATGGACTGGTCACAACCTCCTGGCTGGATTTCGTTCAAGGCACTCCTTCGCTATTGTGTTAAGATAGGCCATTGCTGCTCCTCTCTGGCCGTGTCAACAAGCAAAACAAGGCTCTGCTGCCTCAGACATGCCAGCGCTTTTCTGAGCGGCCACCCCCCTCAAATCTGCTTCCCTGACAAGAAAAGGGGCACATTTGTGCATAGCCCATCAATGTGTGAGGTAGGGGATGTGTCAGGGCCGGGGGCCCTGGGAAAGCGCAGGCTCGGGTGGGTTCTGCCGCGCTCCGCAGTGCCGTGCCATCACCCCAGGGACGCGGGTGTCCCGGCTCAGGGGCAGCTTGTCCGCCCAGAGCCCTTCATGCAGGGGGGTGCTGTGAGCTTGAGGGGAGCCGGTTTGTAATTGTCATCAGCTTTGCTCCTGGCACAGCGCTGAGTGTGGAGCAAGTGGCAGAGAGGCAGGGAGGAACAGGCTGCCCCATCTCCAGGGAGTCCCCTGCGGGCTTTTGGGGCACCATGAGACCTCGGCATCGTTACACTCCATCCCTCACACCATTAAAGGGCAGTGAGAGCGTCCTGTGGCCTGCCAGCCCTTCCTGACCACACCTCTGCTTCAGAGGCCCCGCTCCTGTGTCCCTTGCATTTTATAGCCATCCATTGCAGCTTTGGTGAGACCTTCCCCAGGACATGGGGAGGCTGGGAGAGCTGGCGGAGGGGACATGGGGAGGCTGGGAGAGCTGGTGGAGCTGCAGCCTGGCCAGTGGGTGCTGGTTGGGTTGTGGTGCTGGGTGGATGCCTGCCCTCTGAAGGGTGCCAGCCCTGCCAGGCATGCCGGGCCAGTCACCCTCCCCTCCCGCCTAATTGCACCTCTTTTTCAAGAGCGGGAAGGGGTGATAGACTTGACTGCAACAGCAGGGTCAGAGTCAGCCTCTGCTGCTGGGGAAGGCAACAAGCCTTCCAGAGAAAATAAATAAAAACCCCTCTGACATTTCGATCACCGTCAGGCTAAAAATAATCCCACAGCATGTGGATGGCTCCTGCCCACATACATGTCGATGGCTACGTACATCTCTGCCGTTTGACATTCACAGTCAGATGAGGGCATGTTCTGCTCACACGCAGCGGCTGGGAGCCTTGGC